GACACGCCATTTCCTCTCCAGCTTACGAGTCATCTGCTTTAGGGTACGTGTTTGAGAATTATACCACGGAGTCAGGTACTTCTGATTAGAGACCTTAGTTTTCACAGGAGCTACAGTATCCAGAGTCGTACGTAGTGAGGAGGTAAAATTATTAACAAGATAATCGACCTCTGTTGGGGTAGCGTTCAGGTAGCTGCTCCCCTGTACAGGGCATTGAAGATGATAACAGTGGGTGGATTATATTCTTAAAATTAGTTACAGCAATTTCAGAAAGACATCTACTGTGATAAAGTCTACTCTCCACTGCTGTGCAATCAATTATTGTAAATGTAAATTTTATCAGGAAATGATCAGACAGCAGAGGGTTTTCAGGAAACACTGTTAAAGTTTCACAGCTGGGGTGGATAAGATTAAGCATCAGGCTTTCAAATGATCAGAGCTTCCTGACCTGTTGTCCATCTACACCAAGCGGTGCAAGGTCAAAACCAGGAAGATTATGTTGGACCTCTCCCATCCCAACAATGGACTCTTCTCAGTGCCACCAAGAGGACCAGAGCAGACTGCAGTTTTTCCTCTGCGTGGGAAAGGCCAGGCTGGGGCTGTGCAGGGCACACAGGAGGTTATGGTTGCTCCTCAAGTTCAGGCCGACAGGAACCCTTTGGCTCGCTCCCTGATCCAGGCACCGTGGAATCTGCTGGTTGGAGCTCAGACAAAACAAGCATATACACACAGAGGATAACAAAGGAACATGCCACAGATGGGAACACAGCTGACACTAACCTAACTGACGAGACAGGGGAGGCAAAACTAATACACATGAAACAGGAGACTAACACACGGAGACTCAGACGTGACACAGGGGATAAACTGAACAAATAACAAAAGCCAGAAGCTAGAAATCAACTCAGATGCACTACAGAAAGGTAAACTATAAAGAAGTAACACTCAAGCCATCTCCTAAATAAACAGAAAGGAACATGAGTCCACAACTAACTCAGAAAACACTGGGTCATCTTGATGCATGCTCAGTCATCCAGGTAAGTAAATCCCAAAGGTTAATTCTGTTCATCTGGACGTTTTCAGTGGGAGAAACGTTTTGTTACTCATCCAAGTGACTTCTTTATGATGTAAAATGTAATGCAGACACCAAAAATATTTTAAATTAAAATACATTAGCTTTAACGTGCTATTAAAAATGATCTGGAAAGCTTTATTACCAAAGATTCATTATGCAGCAAGTTTTACGTCTGCATCCACTCGCAGTCAGACAGAGTCCTTCTGTTTTCACTGTGTGATTGAATAGGATCAAATTGAGAATTACTTCAGACCTGTTTATGGTAATACAGTGATAACTTGGTGAAATTTGTTTTGTATTGCTGACTGCATACACATTAAATTAACACTACCTTCTTAGATTCACAGTCCAGCCAGAACCTCATAGATCTGCAACACAAGTCCTCCACAAATAGTGACATAGTTGTGATTTACCTTCTAAGTAACACAGCGGCTCAGGAACTTTTCTTTTCTGTTGGAATATAACAACTGTGCATCTGCTTTGAGATTGAAAGTGGTTGGTTGTCAGTGTAATCACTGGAAAACCAATTTTATTTTTCTGGTTACCTAAAGGGTCCCATCCTGTTTTTCCTCTAGTGTGACTGAGCCATTGACTTGCTAGAATATTGTGCTGAGCTGCTCCTACCTGCCGGTGGCGAGATAGCATGCCAACCTGTTGACCTAAAGGCTACAGTAGTTTGCCAGGCTTTGCAAGGAAATGAACCTTCATTCTTCAGTTGACTTCTTTTAGATTCTAGTCAGGGCTGTGTCACGACTACTGTGGATTTTTATCACTTAACATCCAAATATAATTTGTATGTGAACAAACTGCACTGAAACAAAAGCATTTTCTTTCATCCCTCTTTAAATACTCTCTGGGTGTGTTCATTACTACCCATACACATACAGTAGTTTAGATTGCTCATGTAGGCTGTGCAGTAGCCTGCCTGCTCTACCTACACATTTGAAAAGACAATGAAACTTAGTCTGTGTCTGGATATGTTATTACAAACACTTGTCTGTTTCATTTTGGAAAGACAAGCTCGTAAAAAAACAACTATCCTACAGGAAACAGTTTTATGATGTCTAGCACACAAATCCCCAGACCTTCACTTTTTCAGATTTCAGGCTTTTTCCACTCTCACAACCCTCAGCTCTGTTTTTGTCATTTGGTCCACTGCTAAGGAACTGCTGCTTAGTTCCCAAATGTCCTCACGTGGCAGAAACAATACCAGTGCAGTTCAGATGTTTATGTGCTTGAAGTCATTTGTCACACATTTGCGTGTGCACATACAGTTTATCTTGTGAGTCTTAACTATCACTGAAATGCAGGCAGATCCTGCTCATTGAAGTTTTTCACTCATTTCTTCATGTTTCCAACAGGCTTTTGTTCAGATCTGTCTCTCCCATCTCTCTGTGTAGCTCACCTATACCACTACACTTGTGTCTTTTCCACGTCTGCCCCCCTTTCTTTCTGTCACATAATGGTACAGTCCTAGTCTGTCTCTGTATGTGTTTGGCCCTGCCTGCATTTTCATCAAGGCTGGAGATTTGGCTTCCACATAGCCGCAGGCCATTGACAGTTATGTAACAATATAATTGTTATGTCTGATATCATTGGGCCATAAGTTTGACACCCCTGGTCTAGTTGATTTGTATCATCTTGTAGGGTGGATAACTAAAGGTGGGTAGTAATGAAATGTATGCAATAATACTGCCCGAGGGAAGCATGTATAAAGTAAAAGTATGGTCCCAGTGTGAAGAAAACTCTGTTAGACAGATATGATTCAGACCATTGCAGTGAAGTTCCATCCATCCACCTTCTTCCACTTATCTGGAGCCGGGTTGTGGGGTCAGCAGCCCAAACAGAGAAGCCCGAACCTCCCTCTCCCCAGCCACCTCCTCCTCCTGCATTCCCAGGCCAGCCGAGAGATATAATCTCTCAAGCAAGATTCAAGATTCAAGATCTTTTGTTTGTCACGTGCATAGTTATACAATTAAAACACACACTGAAAGGTGACCTGATATACCCCTCGAGGTTGCAAAAGAGAGAAAACATTTTACACGGTAAGTAAGTAAATATATACAAAGACGACATTATGTGCAGCAAGTGAGTGAATTATATACATTAAGAAAAATATATAAAATCAAATAAAGCAATCTGGAAATTTGCAGTTTGAAATCTGAGAATGCACATTGTGTGAGTGGGGTCTTGGGCCGCAGTGAAGCCAGAGGATCAGGCATGATATAAGAATGTGATAACAATGAGTCCTGTCTCAGTCAGTTATGGTTGATTGGCAGGACGGGGGACCTTCTGCCTGATTGCAGAAGTTGGAACAGTTTATTGCTGGGATGGGACGAGTCTTTCAATATCTAAGCTGCTCTAGTCCAGCATCTCCTGGTGTAAATGTCCTGAAGGGAGTGGAGAGCAGCCTGTAGCTGTGTTCTGCTGTACAGATCACTCTCTGAAGAGCTTTTTTGTCCTTGACACAGCTGTTTCCATACCAGGATGTGATGTTCAGTGCGAGGATGCTCTCCACAGCTCCTGTATAGCAAGTCCTAAGGAACACTGGAGAGACCCTGAACTTCCTCAGTTGTCGGAGGTGGTACAGGCGCTGCCTAGCCTTTTTGGACTGGACCAGCTCGGGTGCCTCCTCCAGGTGGGACATGCCCGGAACACCTCACCCAGGAGGCGCCCAGGAGGCATCCTTGTCAGATGCCTGAACCACCTCAGCTGGCTCCTTTTGATGTGGAGGAGCAGCGGCTGTATGCTGAGCCCCTCCCAAATGGCTGAACTTCCCACCCAATCTCTAAGGGAGAGGCCAGCCACCCTTCAGAGGAAGCCCATTTCTGCTGCTTGTATTCGCGATCTCGTTCTTTCAGTCACTACCCACAGCTCGTGGCCATAGGTGAGGGTAGGGACATGGATTGACCGGTAAATTGAGAACTTTGCTTTTACACTCAGCTCTCTCTTCACCACGATGGCGTCCACATCACTGCAATCAGTCTGTCGATCTCCCGTCACTCAGGATATTTATACTCCTCCACCTGGGGCAGGAACTCGTTCCTCACCCTGAGTGAGGAACGAGTTCACACTGCTTCACACTCGGCTGCGAACCATTCCAGTGCCAGCTGGAGGCCATCAGCTGATTAAGCCATCAGAACCACATCATTCAAGGATTCAAGGAGCTTTATTTGTCATTCGTATCACATGTTAACATGAGGTGGAACAAAATTATGTACACACGGTCCGGAGTGAAAAGAAACAAAAATGATGAAGAAACAGAATTTTTTTTTAAGTAATAAATAAATGATTGGGTTTCTTGTTGTTGTTGTGTTGGGTTTTTTTTAACAAACAGAAATGACAAGTAATAAGACAATACAATAAATAATACTATAACTAGAGTGCAACAACCTGAGTACCAGTATAGAGTGTGGGTATAAATGTAGGTGTAAATAAATACTTTAGCAGCAAAGGGCATGATGACCAGCATTGATAAAGTGATGGTGTCAGTAAGTGTCAGTAGTGATTAAGGTGCTACAATAAGAGTTCTTGTACATTATGCACTAAGAAGTCTAACAGCTTCTGGAGTGAAGCTGTTTCTCAGTCTGGTGGTTTTGCATTTAATGCTCCTCAGCCTCCTGCCTGCACACTCAGAAATTAAAGTACAGAAATGTACCTATAGGGGTACAATGGCTTGTCACTGGGGTGGTACCCTCTAAGGTACCGTTCTGTACCCTAAACTGTGGGTACTGATTTGTACCCTTGTAATTTGTACCTTTTACACGTCAAACCTGTACGTTAAAGGGCAAAATTGTACCCTTAGTATAAAGTACAAAAAAGAACCCTTAAAAGGAGTACAAAAATGTCTTTCTAAAGGTTCAGTATCTACACACAGATTTCCTATATTTTTCCTCTCAAGATTTGAAAAATTGAAGATACAAAGTCAAAAATACTTGTCACATTTATTACCTTCTTAAATACATTGCTTAACTGTTACATACAAACTGTTATCAACAGAGTATGTGTCATAAGCTGCAACATCAATTTCCTGTCCAGGTTTTAGCAACGTCCATTCACTATCAACTCTAACACTGTATGAATGAAAATGGTTGTCATATAACAGAGGAATGAGAATTTTTCCACAAAAGACCCACATTGTGTCAATATTAACACAACACCTGTTCTCTGTGTTTCCTATACACATGTCGTCTGAAAGATTCATATTTTTTGAAGGAAGAACAGCAGTCACTGAGTCCACAGGTTATATCAAAATTGGCATCATGGGAATGAATAAGTCCTATGTGCTGCATAAGCTTTGTCAAACTAAAGGTTCTTCTGCCACATTTGGAGCACTGATATGGCTGAGGCATGGTGGTCAATACATGGTGGATTTATTTGTCTGGTGACTGTGATTGGCAGAGGCTGGTCCTCACCCTCATCTATTTTCACAATGTACTTTTGGAGAAAAATCAGGGTGTTCTTCAGATGTTTTGGATAAGCAAGGTTGAAGACAAAATACAAGCAGAAAGAAGAGATGATTCCTTCAAAAATACACGAGCTTCTGCACACTTCACTGCCATCCAACTTCACAATGTTTGGAGCGCTTCTGGAGAACACTGGTTTCCAGTCTTCATGAAGTAGCTGAACAGTTGGATAGGGGGTTTTAGGATGAACCTTTGAAGTCAAAAGAGAAGGTAGAGGAAAGCAATATATTAGTCTCTTAACAAAAGATACATTTGTTTTCCTTTTATATAGACTAAATATTTTAATACACACACCTCTCCAAGTATGACAAAGAGATCCAGTTTCTCCTTGAAGACGTATGGCAGGAATAAAAGTGCAGCCCTTGTGTCAAGATCTGCCAAAAGAACAACAAAACACAAGATCACCCATGCATTTTATCTGGCATTTCCAGTTACCTATAAAAATTATATAAAATGGAAGCCTTGAAGTTAAAAAAAAAAAAAAAAAAGCAAATACCCGGTAGGTCATCAGTGAGAGCCTCCTCTCTTGCATCAAGGTAGAGCTGGTAGAGTGGGGTTTTCCCTTGTGTAAGGTCAATCACCTTTGCTGCAACACATGAGAGCCCTTCACGAAATCGCTGGCTTACATTACCCGTTGTTGGTTGGATCCACCCGAGTTCGTTGCACAGCTACAAGTAAAAAATTCATTTTCAGTACAAAATAACAGTGTATGAAAATGAAATAATCTAAAGTTGATATTAATTATGTATGGTGCTGCATAATTTTTTTTTTTTTATAGAATTTAACAACAATACTGTAAGAAGTTACATGAACATACAAAAAAAGGAAAGAGGGACAGATGAAGAAAACAAGGTCAAGGGCAAATAAAATTTACTACTATAAACATGTTAAATGTGACAGCTATTTCCAAGTTCAATTCAGCTTTCTGACTTACACCAGTAGGCATCCCTAAGAAGGGGTACTTCTTCAACACATCCTCCACAGGCATACCATTTGCAATTTCTTTCTGCCGCCAAGCAAACGTTTACTGCACACGGTTATGAACCACCATGGTATCTGGTTGCATCTTCTGATATTGGCACTGTAAGACCTTTAAGTGGGCGTCTATGGATAATAAATCCTCTCCTTGGACGCATGGTCCCTTGAAAGAAAGCAAGAGTGAGAAGAGAAAGTCAAAACAGACTTAGACCCCCCGGAGAGCAGTCATTTTGGTTTTGTACCTTAGACCCCTGCGGAGTCATCATTTTGCGTTTCTACCTTTAAAAGCCAGAGAGCAGTCAGTCAAATGCTGGAGTCATTCATATGTATATTAGGTCGTTACCTAGGAATTCTGGAGGGAGGGGAGTGGGGTGAGTGATTGAGGGGTGGGGGAGTGGAGTGTTTCAGTTTGCCATCTTGGGGAGAAATCAACACATGTCCTTTGTATGTCCTTTGTTGCTGACATTTATTGATAAAAACAGTACAAAAAACCAACCATTTGTACACATATTTACAAATGGCCTGCTGAGTGGTGCATGGAGCATGTTCATTGGTTCATGGACCTCCCTGAACTAATGGCATTTATGGCAGCAACAAAAGCGGTGAGCTTCCTTTTGTGTTTCATCTTGATGCATTCTCAATCATCCAGGGAAACAAATCTCCAAAAGTCACCAACTTGGAGTGTTTCAGTTTGCCATCTTAGGGAGAAATCAACACACATGGGTGTATGTCCTTTGTTGCTGACATTTATTGATAAAAACAGTACAAAAAACCAACCATTTGTACACATATTTACAAATGGCCTGCTGAGTGGTGCATGGAGCAAGTTTTGGGTGGCTTGCGACCTAAAATCCAAGTACACAGATGCAAAAAAAATCAGGCCACTGTGCGATGTGTTCACTGCTACAGGTACACATGTGGTAAATGCAGACGACAGATACCGTGGCAGTGCCAGGATTGTGAGTGATTGCTGAAAATGTTGAAATGTACTCACTCACTCACTTTTTATCATTATTTGTAAATATGTGTACAAATGGTTGGTTTTTTGTACTGTTTTCATCAATAAATGTCAGCAACAAAGGACATACAAAGGACATGTGTTGATTTCTCCCTAAGATGGCAAACTGAAACACTCCACTCCCCACCCCCTCAATCACTCACCCCCACTCCCCTCCCTCCAGAATTCCTAGGTAACGACCTAATATACATATGAATGACTAGCCAATTTAGCTTCCACTTCCACCATTTGACTGCTCTCGGGTTTTATAGGTAGAAAGGTAGAAGCCTGGGGATGCTAGTTAGAAACCCAACATAAGACTAAATATACAATTAGAGCTGACACGATCTGTGCATCACAAAGAACTCGTATCGGTTAAAGTTAACCGATACCATGAACCAATATTTAAAATATGGAAACTCTGAAATAATTTCACATAAAATCTTAATTGTTAACTTGAAATTTTAGTTTTGGAGTCATATTTAAAATGTTTTTTTAAAAAAAATCTAGTTCACCCTCTTTTAGCGCCTTCTAATTAATAATATTTTGTGAGGTAGAAGTATTAGCACTGGTACTTTGTATTAGCAAGTGCTCTAATCCAAGTATTGGTATTGTTTCGGTTTGAAAAAAAAAGGGGTACAGTTGCATCCCTAATCCTTAGTTTTAGATGTAATAACAGAGGCAAGAACATTTTATAGCTCAAGATGTCCCTCACACCAACCTGACAAACATTTCTCTGACTTGTTCATTGACATTTATTAGGCTGCCCTCTCCTCGTAGAACCAAACTTCTCCTTACAACGCCTCACTGCCTCACTGTCGACTAGTGGTGCCCGCTCTGATTTGAATTTACGTCTCAAAGACATATGCCATGTGTGCTTGTTGAACAGAAACATAAGTTATTGTAAAAACAATCTACACAAAATACACCCAACAAAGAATCAGTAAACATACTTCATACAAACCTACTGAGAGGCTACAGATTGTCTTACTAACAAAACAAGATCGAAAAAAGCTTCACTTTTACTTTGTAATCTTGAAGGAACCTTATGCTAATTTTAAATTTAACTTACATAACCATTTCCCTCATGATCCTTGAGGAAAGGATACTTCGTTACCAGCGTCTTCACAGCTTGCACATATTCAGAATTTGTGGGATACCTGTAATATCAGAAGAAACAGAAGTGTTAGAGCAACTGCTGACAAACAAACTTTATCAAGTGTTAGTTATTGTTTCTTAGTAATGTAGCGTTTATTTTCAATATGACAGATTCAGCTTTTTCTAAAGCAACAAGCTAACATTACCCTGATTAACTTACATAGTATACTGTGCCACAGCTTCATATAGAACTCTGATTATTGTGTGTCTGTCCCTTGGATTTTTATGGCACGGTTCTTTGTTGTCCAGTTTTAGTTGGAGATTTTTGGGAAATCTTGGAATTTCAAAAGAGGCAGGTAGTCTCAAAGTATTTTCATTGCTGTGAAAACAGTTAAGCGTTTGTTTTTATTGCATGAATTGAAGTATAAAACACTACAGTAACAATACATATTGTAGAAACAATGATCATATTAACTAAATCCTAAAAGTGCATAACGGCCAACATGTATGTTTCAGACATACTAACTTCATTATAAATAAGAAAATATCTTATTGAAGTTGACGAAGTAGATGGTTGCCAGTCTTCTGGAGAGACAGTCTGTAGAGTCAGCGTCACTGAAGATTCCTTCATCCTTAACACAAATTGGTTGAATTTAACCTGCATTTTGAAGGATCCTTGGAAAAGGTATGCAACCATAGTCTCAGTAAGACCGCAGTCAACTGTGTCACCATCAACCTCATTGTCTGCAAGATAAATGGTAGTACAAACTCTAAATTCAATGTAAGGATATTTATCACCACATTTTTACATGGGTAAAAACCATATATCACACACATTAAAACCTTTTGTACAACTTCTTTCAGTTCAAAGAAATATTCATTTAAAAAAAATCAGTAAATTAAATAAAATAAAGCAAATCTTTAGAGTGAATCCTCTTGATATGCAAAGTTTTCATTTTTAAATTTAGATGTTTGTTTGGGACTACTGGACACAGGAGAGCAGAGTCTGAGCATGCTTTTGTGCCCTTTCAAGTTTGGAAGAAAAAAAAAGACTAGAATGCTGTAATTTGTTAATATTCACTACTAAGGTGACTCCTTTCTCCAGATTTCCGACAGTTTCTGCCGTCTGTTCTTTCAGACCGATTACTTATAGCGCTAACACCCGCAGGACCGTATTACAAGCTCAGATTACATGCTGAAAATCAGAATCAGAATACTTTATTGATCCCTGGGGGAAATTATTTTTTGTTACAGTGCTCCATTTTAAACCAACATTAAGACAAGACAGACAATACGCTAACTAAGAATAGTACAATATATACATATATATACATACATACATACATAAGTCACTTATAAATAAATATTTGGAAAAGAAACATGTGTAGTTGTAGCAGCAAACAGTGTGTTAAGTGGATGCGTTGTACAGGGAGATGGCCACAGGCAGGAATGATTTCCTGTGTCGTTCAGTGGTGCTTTTCGGTAATCTCAGTCTCTCACTGAACGAGCTCCTGTGACTGACCAACATGTCATGGAGTGGGTGGGAGGTGTTATCCAACATTGTCTTTATCTTGGACAGCATCCGCCTCTCCGACACCACCTTGAGGGAGTCCAGCTCCATCCCCACAACATTGCTGGCCTTACGGATCAGTTTATTAAGTCTGTTGGCATCTGTGACCCTCAGCCTGCTCCCCCAGCATGCAACAGCATAGAGGATCGCACTGGCCACCACAGACTCATAGAAAATCCTCAGCATTTTCTGGCAGATGTTGAAGGACCTCAGTCGCCTCAAAAAATAGAGACAACTCTGGCCCTTCCTGTAAAGTGCTGTGGTGTTTTTAGCCCAGTCCAGTTTATTGTCAATGTGTACTCCAAGGTATTTATAGTCCTCCACAATGTCCCACATTGCTTAAAACGCGACTATCAAACCTCAGCTGCGACACCCTTGTTATATTTTAAACAAGTGCGGCGTCAAGATATTTCCTTTAAACGTTATTATCAGCTGCCCATGTGTGTTAATGGCCTTGGAATGGATGTAAAAACGTGATTTTATTAAACCATTAATACACTAACGGTAAACTGCATTCAGCTACCAGGGAATCAAATTTCGCGCCGTTCCGCTGCGCAGGGGTTACCAAACCCATAGACTGTGGCCGAACCACATATATAAGTTCAAACTTATACAAATACTATGTGTACACATTTTTCATTTTTCAGAACTGTGACCTCAACTTTACACATGAAACGTTTGTAAAAACGTTTGTAAAAAGACATAATTTGAGCTAAGAGAGTGCCGAAACTAGCTAAATTGCTAATATACGTTAAGCTAGGCTAAACCAATAATTAGTAATTACGCTACATTTTTCTTTAAATAAAACTTACCTCTGAAATGCTGAGCTTCAGCTTCGGTGACATCTAAGCCCCACTCTTGTATTTTTGTTAAGAGTTCCTCGGTTGAAAGTGAACAGAGCACACCAGGACTTGCAAGTTCGTAATCCATCTCCCTCCGTTGATAAAACAAAATGGCACCTGCTGCATTTACAGAAAATTCTAGAATCCACCAGCTATTCGTTGAGTTTCTTCTTCTACTTTTTGTTTGATGTTGTGAGGATGGGCTCAACTCGCACTCTGAGTTCAGTAAGGGTGCTTTTTTGCAATTCACCCAAATAGTTATACTTTAAAAAAAAACACTCTCTTAAAAAATTTTTAAATGCATTTTTACTTTTTTTTCTTTCAAATAAATTCATTGTTCTTAAAGCAGCTTAAAAATAAGGGGGGGGGGGGGGGGGGGTTCAGGGAATACAAAAACAACAGCAATGAAAATAATAAAAAATAAAAACACTAAAATATATGCTTATATCAATACAGTTGCAAATAAATTACTGTCAAAAAGAATAAAAAACAAAAAACCTCTAATCAAAAAGAGCTTAATCAACCTGTACTTTATCTTTTGAAAGAATGGGTACAAATAAGTACTTTTCACAATTAAGGAACATGTATGTACCTTTCAGACGCTAAAAAAGGTACAGATAGTTACCCCGAGGTCCAATATTTGTCCTTAGACTGTATTAATGTCATTTTTGTACCTTGGGGCACAGTAATGTACCCCTTCCGTACCCCTATTTCTGACTGTGTGAGGGGAGTGGGACAAAGAGTGAGTGTGCTGGGTGAGTGGGGTCCTTCATGATACAGGTGGCACTCTTCCTGCATCTGGAGGTGTATATGTCTGTGACGGTTGAGAGGCTGCCTCCGACCACTCTCTGTGGAGCTTTCCTCTCTGCCACAGTGCAGTTTCCGTGCCACACATTGATGCCAGAGCACAGAACCTTCTCCACCGCACATCTGTAGAAGGAGATGAGGACTGAGCTCCGCATGCTTCAACCTCCTCAGGAAGTAGAGGCTCTGGTGAGCCTTCCTGATCAGGCTGGAAGTGTTGTTTTTCCAGGTGAGGTTGCTATACAGGTACGTACCCAGGTACTTGTAGCTAGGTACTACTTCGACTGCAGATCCTCCGACGTGCAGGGGTGTGTGTCTTCCCCTCCTGAAGTCCACAATCATCTCCTTCATCTTCTTCTCATTTAAGCAGAGATTGTTTTGCCTGCACCAGTCCTCCAAGTGTTCCACCTCCTTCCTGTAGCCGGTCTCATCATTGTTTGTGATCCAATCAACCACAGCATTATCCGCGAAAAGCAGAGATTAGATCCTGAGACCACCCAAGTGAAAGCCTTCCGCCACTTGGCTACGCCTAGAAGGTCTGTCCATAAAAATTATGAACAGAATTGGTGACAAAGGGCAGTCCTGGCGGAGCCCATCACCCACCAGGAACGAGTCCGACTTATTGTCGGCTAAGCGGACCAAGCTGTTGCAACGGTTGTATAAGGATTGAATGGCCTGTAGCAATGGGCCAGACACCCCATACTCCCGGAGCACAGGACACAGGACACGGTCGAATGCCTTCTCCAAGTCTACAAAACACATGTACACTGGTTGGGCAAACTCCCATGCACCCTCAAGGATCCTTGAGATGATGAAGAGCTGGTCCAGTGTTCAACAACCAGGATGAAAACCGCATTGTCAAATTGTAAATGAAATTTAAAATTCTTGTCCTCACATACAAGGTCTTAAATAATCAGGCCCCATCTTAACTTAATGACCTTGTAGTACCATATCACCCTATTAGAGCACTTCGCTCTCACACTGCAGGCCTACTTGTTGTTCCTAGAGTATTTAAAAGTAGACTGGGGGTCACTGGTTTAGCTCAGCATGTTGAGCAGGTGCCCACATGCCATATGGCTGAGAGCAGCCGGCCTGGGTTCGAGTCTGACCCGTGGCCCTTTGCAGCATGTCTTCCCCCTTCTCCCGCTTTGTTCACTGAGCTATCTAACAAAAAGGCCAAAAAGAAGTCAATTCTTCCTCAAATTTCTAGATGCCTCATTTGCCTTAAGCATGCCAGTTGCCTTTTGTGTGTCTTCTATAGTTATTTTTTCATGTAAACTTTGTTCTGTTTTTGTCCAATTGATGGTGAATCTAGTTTCTCCAAAAATGCTTTGATCTGATCTGTTAATGTGTGTCTCAGTCCTAAATGTCTCAAAGTGAAGAGTTGTGAGATCAGCCTCTTCACACACTGCAGCAGAGTGAGTGAAGCAGC